TGAGTCGTCGCACTGGACGGCTCTGTCCTTGCCTGGTTTAATAAGAGGCAACCGAAAATAATTACTGGAAAACTTTGGAAATGACTGGAAGAATTGAAAACGACTAAAAACATGCAAGCTAATAATATAAAGGTCTGGTACTGCACACAAAAAATTATTCTTATACAGTATTTTCGGCTAAATGACGCTCATCACCGATCATTGCCATACGGAAGGTAGTGGTTTCACCCCAAAGTTTTCGACCTCGCCTCTCGGATCTGCCACTGCATCTCAGGGCCTCACTGAACAGCACCTTTTTGTAAGCGAAGTGGGCTCCTTCCTAAAATATCATTGTCATTATCATTAATCTTCCCATGATGTACGTATTCTTCTTGATAATATCCATCGCCAAGTGTGTCTAATGATATAAATACTTTCTTGAACACGATCAAACTAGGGAGGGGGAATTCATAAGGGGCATACTTGCTTAGCGGTGAAACCACTATAAACTAACAAAACATGTAAACTTCTTCCGGATTTTTCACACCGGTGCCCTTATTTTGACAGTCTTTTCAGAAATTATCTATTATATTTTATCCTAAATTATCTTTGAAAATAGTATATTTTATAGTTTTTAGTTGTAGGATCTATATTTGTAATTTGTTTTGAGGGCCACAGAGTCATCAGTGTCTTAGGACTACTGCAAAGTGTTTTACCCTCTTTAAATAAAGCCTGTTATTTATTATTATTTATTATTATTATTATTTACAGCTGTGAAATGGGAAACAGCCTGAGAAAAACGCGAATGGTGCGCGTACTTCCAGACCCCAACGCCGAGCTCCTGCCGACGGACAGCCGAATACTCGAAGAACTGGGACATGGTAGAGGGAGAAGATATTTTCATCCTAAGTATAGAGATATCATAAACACGATGCACATATTAACCGCTCTTATCGGCAATTTTAACAGTCCTTACCGAAAGCTTGGTCGCGCTGGCTTGTTGCTATGGTTATTGAGCATGTCTGTTAACTTCATGTACGATGGGTACGAGTCATGTGTCAAGTATGGCTACCCGTGGATAAGTGTGCGAGGCTTGCTTTGGATCACGTGCTGTTTGGGTACATGGTTTACCATTCGTCGCACAATGCCTTGGTTTGAGCAGAATCTCTGTAAACTGGAGAATGACAAGCTCTACAGAAGAGTGTTGCAAGACATGTCTGGTACAACCGAGGTGCGTGATTGCCGACTCGTGTGTCTTGCCTATTTTTCTGTTTGCAGAGTACTATAGAGAGGAGAAGTGTGACGTCACGTTACTATGGTAGCAAAATTTCTGGATTGCAACAAAAGGTTTAGATTAGGAAAAGAACCGCAAAAATTTTCTTTTTCTAAGCTTAGCTTCGGGCCTTTCGGATTCAACGTGTTCTTTAAATCTATAAGAATGAAATAGTTCAAAGATGAGGGCAAATAGAATGTTAGCTTCGCAATTTGCATCTGTCTTGTCCGAAGGTCCACCGTGTGGCATATAGTTTAAAAAATGGTCTGTGTCGCCACAGCTTTTTATCCCTGAGATTTCTTTATCATTTAACGATTCACAGTTTTTGTTGTCCCACAGAAACTGCCGTACTTTCTGGTACTGTTTTCTCTAGCTGCTGGTTCTCTTCAGTATGGCATAATGCGGAGAGACCAAGCAACACATCTCGCATTTGGAAAGACACCGCACGTGGTTTTGGGCGTGGTTTTGCACGTGCTGAGATTTATTAGCGGTGTGCACGTGTATTACGCCTTGGCACTATTCTGGAGCGTGCCCACGTGTGTTATGCTGATGGCAGGATACTCAATGATTGAATACCAAGGTAACAACCGATGTTGCAACCTCGTCCCTAGGATTTTTCCATATGGAAAAGCCCCAACTAAGAGGTCTCTGATGTTACATTAAACACACAACTTTGTCTAACCTGGCCATGAAAAAGTGCTCTGAAATTGGCCAGGCGTCTGCTGAATACCAGGAAAACGAGACCTCTGCTAGCAGGGAAGAAACTGATTCATTCAAAAACTTGAAATCGTTTAATCAAATGTTGCCTTTTGATCTAATATCCGGTTACCAAGCCAATTACATTGAACTTATACCATAACTTAACTCTTAACAAATCTAGACTAATTTTAATCCTATACACCTTCTATAGATAGTTGATAATTAATTGCAATAGTGCGGTCACAATTCAGGTTATTTTTAAAATTATTATGTCGACAGATCTTACCGCATCAAGATTAAAATTCAAAAGCTCACCCTTAACGCTGAGACAAGCCGTTGAAAGTTACAACGAAAGGGTAAAATTTGTTCAAGACTCATCATCAGCTTGTGTGGTAAGTTTTGAGAGAAAATCATGTTGAAACGGTGCCCACGTTTTTCGTTTAGAAATGGTTCACTATTGTCAGAAATTGCCTGTCTTTTAGCGATCCTTCTTCCTTAAATCCCAGCTTTTCTCAATCGATTTTCTGCTCCCCTTCTTCTCTGTACGTATCTATGGTACATAGTGAGCTGTGTTGTAATTTGGCAAGAAAGCTGCGCAGATCAGGAACCCGGCCATTAAGACTCCTATAGAAAGATAGAGGAGCGAAAAACTCACAATGGCACGAAATTTACATCATAACATAGAGTAAAGGCCATTGGTATTAGCCAAGTCAAGCACGAAGGTGTCGCTTTAACAACGTCAAACAAGGTACAGTGGAGACATCTTAGTTCAAGGCATTTTTTTGCCACTCTGTAAGGGCGAATGGGTACTAAAGTTTAAACGGTGCAAAGATTTCTGGAGTCGTTTGGGTAGACAAGCGTTACTCATGATCGGTTGATGGTTGCTTTGCCTTGCCTTGCCTTGCCGAACCCAGGAAATCGCCACGTCCGCTTGTAACATGGCCATACTCCCTGGAATATATGAAGTGGAGAATTACGGCGAATAGGTATGGAACGTTCGGTGCAAAGTTTTCTGGGATTGTCTGGATGGAAAAGACATATACAAACGATAATTGATTATTGGCCGCCTTTGAATACTGTCGATCAATACTTGTCAACCCAAAAGATCCCAGAGATCCCTGCGCTGAGCGCTTGCATCCATTCTCTCTGTAATTATGAAGTGGTGTATTTTGAATGGTTAGTTTAACCTTGCTCATGATTACCCTTTGCCACTTTTTTTCTTTAGGTGATACTTTGTGTTCTGATTGCCTTCTCTGTCATATCATTAGCTGTAAATGCGTACGTGTTCCTTTTTCTGCATCGATCATTGTATCTGTATATAGTCCAAGCCCTGCTGCCTCTTGTGTTGGCGACCTACCCTCTGAGTACAGCTTCGTGGGTCACGAAACAATACCATTGGTAAGTGACCCGTCACACAACACTCTTCTGAAGGGAGGAGTAGCCTGTAGGAAAGGCCCTTTAAAATGTTGATCACTGAACGCTATCCACTAGATAAATCTCTATCCAGTGGATAGCCCAGTTAGTTTTCCTATTACTTATTCGCTGAAAATTGATTTATTCGATAGATACCGCCTTTGAACAATCAAATCCAAGCACCATTTTTTCAAGTTTTTCGGTCAAGACATGTGCGACGGAAGAAAAAATAGCGCCCATTTTGCACGCTAGGGAAGGAGCTTTGTGTTATATATGGGAAAAGCGTAACCTGAGATCAGGCCCAATTTTAGTGGTTCTCATACATTTTCTCTGACGGCTACCGCTAAAATTGATTGTTTTCGTTTCGCCTTGCCTGCCGGAATGTTATTTACAAAGCGAAACGAAAATTGAACCTGATCTCAGGTTAGGGAAAGTGATACAAGCGAAGAACGTCACTTATAAAGTACAACAGCGTTCTTTTGAACTTGATTGCAATTATTCCAATTCGCCTTTTTTTTAATGTAGGATAATTCTTCTAAGGTTGAATTCTTCAGGATGGCATATAAGTTTCGAAAAAAGAAAGACAAGTTTTGCTAGTAACGTCCCTCATAACCTTTTTCATTAGGAAAAAGCACGCCGTAGTGATGCGGTGTGACGGTAGATAAACATACCAAAAAGTATTTAACCAAGTGTCGTCGGCTAAATAAAGAACAGTTTATGGTTACAGCCTGTACATGGCTCTGCCGTCTTATCTGCACCCCACTTGCGCTTAGTTTTGTCGCAGTTTTCATTCCGACAAGTTATAATAATAATAATAATAATAATAATAATAATAATAATAATAATAATAATAATAATGATAATAATAATAATGGTTTATTAACAGTGTATCCACCTAGTGGCTCTTCACTTGTTAAAAACTACAATATAAAAAACGAAAAACTATAATACACTACAAAAATAAAATTGAATTGAAATCTACAATATAAAAAAAGCAAAAATATCGGACTATAAAAGGATATTGTATAAAAAATAAAAATGTTATAAAGATTAATAATAGTAATACAACCCTATATACAATTTACAAACTATTTACAAATGTTATTTAATAGATAGGCATCAACTTCCCTACAATATACTTGGAAGTCGTGGATTTACTTTGCACTTTACATTTCAGGCATCTTGTTGCGGTAGTCAAAGCTTGGGTCGAGATCTCTGATTCAGATTCCGACTCAGACGACGAGCAACAGCAGAAAACCATCAGTGCTCATTCTACGAGAGAATCATCAGCAGACCGCCATGAACTGTGGGCTCCACAGAGTCCTCTCCGAATTCACATGCCCGATACAGGTCACGTGATCGTGAGACCATACAATCAAGATGAAGTCAAGAGGCTTGGGAATATATTTTCTGGATCCGCTCGATTTATTGGAAAGCTTCAGCAAAAGAGGACGCGGTCGAAATTTCAATTCGAAAAATACATCACCTACCTAGAAAAGGTTTCTCGAAATGTTGGCTTTTCTATCGGGGTCGTGCTGGTGACCTGGGACCTAGTTTCTACTGTATTTTTCTTTTTGATCTCTTTGATTGCGTTGTTTGTTCAGGAGTCCATATTTGGGAAGACAAAGAGCACTAT